TCAATGGTGCCATGGTTTTCAGGCTTCAGTATGTTCGAACCCCTCCCTAATACATTTTTGGGGGCGAGGATGGGATAGTGAACACGAAACGCACCGTTGCCAAGGACAAAGTAGACTTTGCAGGTGGGATGCACAGCCTGTGGAGTGAACTGCTGTTTTTTGTAGGAAATTGGGCTAGGGGGCCAGGCTCCGGAATATAGCTGACTCCCTGTGCTGGGAGTGGCAGGGTTGGCTGGTTGCAAGTTTGGTGCTGGGCTGCTGTCTCTGGGGCTGCCGGGGGAAGAGGTTTTTTCCCTGTGGAGCTGCACTGCGCTCTGGGATACTTGTTGAGAAATCCGGGACCTGTCAGGAAAGGATTTCCTGCAGGGCCACGCCGGATGGGGGCTTGCCGAAAAACCGGGACCCGGGGCAGTAGGAGTTCCCTGGGGATGCGCTGGGCTGTATGCAAAATCGGGACCTGGGGAAGGGGCATTTCCCCGGGGACGCGCCGGGCAGTATTTAAAACCGGGACCCATGGAGGGAGCATTTCCCCAGGGACGCGCCGGGCAGTATTTAAAACCGGGACCCATGGAAGGAGCATTTCCCTGGGGACGCGCCGGGCTGTTTTTAAAACCGGGACCTGAAGAAGTAAAAGTTCCCTGGGGCCACGCTGGTCTGTGTTTAAGCCCGGGATCCGGGGGGGGTCAGGCTTTCCCCCCGGTTCCATGCCAGGATGGGTTCTTAGGCCCAGAACTCGGGGGAGGGGGGGCAGGCATTTTCCGTCCCGGGGCCACGCCAGGATGTGTTCTAACTGAATTTACTGGGAGTTCGCACAGGGGGGCTGACAGGAGCCCAGCAGCAAACTGCAGCGGGCAGAGGGAAAAAAAGAGATACTGACTTTTTTTTCCTTTTCTCGGCCGCTTTTTACCCCCTCCTTTTCGGAGGCGGGGGAGGTGGCAGTTTGCAGCTGTAGTGAGTCAAGAAGAGGAAAAAAAAGAAGAGTAAAAGCAGCTCCTTTTCTCTTCCCCTCCCTGGGCAGAGGGAGAGCTGCAGCCTCAGCAGCTGAGGTAGCAGGGAGATAACTTTTGGTTTTGGTAACTTTA